ATCACTGAAGGCTGTGCCTTGGATGGTACAAACACCAGGCAGTTCTCTCCTAGTCATCTTTGTTAGAGCTCAGGTCTGCCATGCAATATGGCTTTGAGGGTACATAGGTTGGAAAATTTGGGAAAGATATTGTAGTGCCTTTGTCTGGAAAGGGCCAAAATTATTACCCAGTATCGGTTATGAAATGAGTTGTGTAACCCCCTAGACTTTGTCTTCCCTCTCTGACCTTAGGACCCCAGAGAACCATATGATGGAGGAAGGAGACATAGTAGGTGTAAGTATGACCAAGCAAATAAATTGAGCATGTGTGCTGAATGAGTAGGTTATGAGGGGACAGATGGCTCTCTCTTGATTTATCCTGAAATGCAGTGTTGGGAACAACATCATTCCCTTGGAATAAATGAGCTGTTAGCCATGAGTGAAGGCTGCATCTTCTGCAGCTGCTCTGGGCTTCCCTTTTTGTCTTCATTCATTGCTTCCACGAATATGTGCTAAGGGGCTGTTCTGTGCTGAGAAATGATGACACAAAGATGAGGGCAGATGTTTCCTGCTTTCAAGGAGTGGATGTCCTCTCTGGAGATCCAGTCTGTAAACCAGGATATAGATAGTTAGATAGAACTGAGAGCCCAGAGGGCTTCCAAAAGCACTTGGCACAAAGGAGGAAATGTCACTTGGAGAAAGTGACCACAGAAAGTTTGAACAGGAGAACGTACTCCAGATGAGCACCAAAGGATGAATCCATGCTTCTCAACTAGTCTGCAAAAGGAGGAGACAGTAACTCAGTTCTACTTGGGAAATGCTTTTCCATGGCTTTCTCCTGCTTGATGTTAGTTTTGTGGCTGTCTGCTTCTATTTAGTTTTTCCATTCAGAGGTTAAGTGGAAGTGAAATTTGTTTATCTAGCTCCTGCCCAAGGAAAAGGAGGGAAGTGAACTGGCAAATTGAGGACTTAAATACAGTGCAAGCTTTTTATTCAATTGCAGTGATTATTTTAAATTTATTTTTTTATTTTATGAGAATGAGGGTTTGGTTGCATGCATGCATGTGTGCCTGGGATGCATAAGAGGGTGTCAGATCTCCTGAAACTGGAGTTAAATGAGTTATGTGAGTGCTGAGAATAAAACCTGAGTTCTCTCAAGAGCATCTTAACAGTTGGGCCATCTCTCCAGCCCAATTGCAATGATTTTAAAACACATTTTTCTTAGTCTACACTTACCATCTAATTTCTTAGGTTTATGAAATATTTAGATGTTGGCAATGCTAATAAAATGATTTTGAAGAAACTCTCTTGTATACTGCTCTCCCTCATTTCCCAGGCACAACACTATTAATTTGTTGGGTCTCTTTCTGAATTTTGCATTTATATGACTATCACTACAACATTTTATAGTGAAAAATGACATTGCATCACTGAGAGTGTTAATCATTGTCTCTTCAACTTGCTTCTCCCTTCTCTTCAGCTCTGTCTATAGAGCATGAACACTCTTAACAAGAGTTTTCAGAGGGAGGCCTTTTCATTCCCCTATGCAAACAAAATGCTTCAGCAATAAGTAGATTTTGCTTTGAGTCAAGAGGAAGAGTGGTAGAGGTCTGTACTCAGTTCTGAGAATGGTCCTCTGCTTTCTACATTTTTCCCAGTGTCATGTCTTCTGAATTACCAGCTTTTGCACGTGTCTGAATGTTATTTATCCCTTGTACCTAAACCTCACTTGTTTTTCTTGATGTTCACAGTAAACTTTGTGTGTGTGTGCATGCGTGCACGTGTATGGGAACACAGATGCAAAGAACAATGGTTCCCTTTTGTATTGGTTCATATGAACAGTTGAGGCATTGCTAGAGTGGGTGTTTCTTGCTGTGCTTACTTATCAGTCTACCCCAGTCATTTCACTCTCTGGATTAATGTCACCCTTCTGCTGAGTCTTCTGTTCCCTCTGCGTCTGGCTTCTGTTTATTTACTCATTCATCACATAGTTTACTGTCTTAGTTAATTTTTTGTTGCTGTGAGGAAATACATTGACCAAAGCAACTTAAGGGAGAAAGAGTTTATTTTGTTGGCTCACAAACTGGGGGTATGGTCCATCCTGGACATACAGCAGGAGCTTGAGACAGCTGTCACATTCTGTTCCCAATCAGGAAGTGGAGGGATATGATTGTGGAAAGAAGACTTTCTCCTTTGTGTTCAGTCTGGCACCCTGGATGGCACAGCACACAATAGGCAAGTCTTCCCAACTTGTTTAGCCTAATTGAGATAGTCTGTTTGTCTTAGTTAGGATTTCCATTGCTGTGCAGAGACACCATGACTCCAGCAACTCTTATAAAGTAAGGCATTAACTGGGGCTGGTTTACAGTTCAGTGATTGGAAGCTTTGTGGTGCACAGCAGACATGATGCTGGAGAAGGAGCCAAGAGTTCTACATCTAGATTGGAGGCAGCAGCAAGAGCAAGAGAGCCACTGGGCCTGGCTTGGACATTTGAAACCCAAAGCCCACCCTCAGTGACACATTTGCTCCAACAAAGTCATACCTACTCCAAGAACATTTTGGGTTTTTTTTTTCAATGTGAGACAAACTGGGCCATGTGGGAAGAGGGTCCTCAGCTCTGAAAATGCTTTCGTTAGATTTGCGTCTTGGGGCTGAGTCATTGCATGGTTTTCAGGGATTGACCTGACTGGGGCCACAAGAGAACAAAACAATGATAGAAACATGGACTCAAGGGCATAGAAGAGCTGGAATCAGGTGGGCTGGGGTCTCTGAAGGAGAAACCACAGTAAATTTAGTATATACAGTTGCGTGGGAAGATGGGGCTATCACATTCTGCCGAATAAAGGTAAGAACAGTCTCTTTAGGGTAGCAATCTTCAGACTGTAAGCATTCATGGCGGGTGATGGGGAGAAAGCTATGCTGTACATTCTCCGCACATGCTATCAGTCCCCACACATAGACAAGAGGTGCTTAGCCATCTCTCTAGGCCTCACCCTGGAGGGAAGGCTTTGCATTTACCCATGGATCTGAGGCTATGGTCCTTGACATGACCATGACCATGACCATGTCAATAACATGTTCACTCAGACCTTCACACACTCAGAGCTTCCTCTATTCCTCACAGGTAGACAACTCCATTGGGGGCATTTTCTTGATTAAAGATTGATAGGTCAAGGTCTTGAGAGGTATAAGAATGAGCAGCCAAGTGTGAGCCTGGAGCCCAAGCCAATAAGCAGCATTCCTCCATGGCCCCTGCTTCACTTCCTTTCTCTAGGTTTCTTGCCTGGAGTGCCTTCCCTGACTTCCCTTCCTGATGAACTGGAAAGCTGTACAATGAGAGACCCCCTTCCCACAAATTGGTTTTGTTGGTTTTTTATCATAGCAGCAGATAGCTCACTTTCTGGAGGGAAAGAATCTGATGGGCTGAGGGGACTTCAGGTCTTAGGTAGATTGCAGGATGTCCTGTGACCCGGTGCCCTTTGTTCAGGCAGATGTGGCTGGAGAAGAGTGAAGGAATTAGACACCAAGGCTTTCCCCATCCCTGATCTGTTCAGCACCTTCTATAAGGATTTCCAGGTTTTCCTATGCATTTGTTTCATCTTGCATAGGGACTGCAGTGATCTGGATACATTAAATATTCAGTGGATATCAATATAGTCAACAATTATTCCCATGGTATTGGGTTCTCTGTGGGCAGATAGCAAGAATCACAGCCAGAGAGATGGCTCAGTGGTTAAGAATACTGCTCTTACAGAGAACCCAAGCTCAGTTTCCAGGTGGCCTACACGTGTGTTCCTGACACACGTGCATACACTCCCCCACACCCCACACCCCCACCCACATGAGAGAAAGAGAGACAGAGACAGAGAGACTAAAAAGAAAACACTGAGGATTTTTTTGTAATAAATTCTTTCCATGCCACTGTTCTACACTTATCGGATATTTATTTGTGGGGGAACTCAGTGGAGTATTCTAATATAACCTTCTCCTAGTCCCTGCTATGCTCTGCTGGCTCTTGCTGATCATTGCAGCTTCCTCTGTAGTTTTCTATCTGAAGTATCACCAACATCCCTCATTTATCTTAGTCATCCTTTATCTTTCTTTCCCTTTCTCATGGCCCAAAGGCAAAGTTGTCCCATGCTTTAGCTTAACTGTATCATATAATTTATACCTTTGGTCTTTGCTCTCTGTTGTTACTTATAGGTTTGTTCTTTCTATTGGACTATGAACACTTTCAGAGTAGGCAGCTCTGTCAGTCATTGTCACACCATAATACCAAGTAAAATGATCATCGTGGGCCCTCAAGTAAGTTTTACAAGGAAAGTATCCTTCATAAGTGGCTATGCATTTTACATATTTCATGTAATTTTTAGACAAGATACTGAGTTATGAATGTGGAAATCCTGATAACAGGTTTCTAATAGCACTATGACAGTTTCCTGACCATGGAATGAAGAACAGTGTAAATTTGTGTTGCACACTCATCAGCATGAAATAATGAATAAATACTATATCAGGAGAGATCCTGGTTAGGAAAATGATAAACTGAATCCAAACTCCCTTTCTCAGAACTTTGAAGAATTACAAAAAGTAGATTTGAAGATGAAGACTTAAGAGTTTGAGTACCTCTCTGCATGAATTTACTTATATATATATATACATATATATATAAATGGAACTAAAAGTATAGATGTATTCTAGTAAATGAAATCCTTTTCAACTGTAGAATTACATTATTCTAATAGTTATACCTACTAAGGGTTAACTATTATATAAGTGACTTGCACCAAAATTATCCATAAGCATTACAATAAAAACAAACAAAAACATCTGTTTTTAACCAGTATTCCCATGCTTGAGAGACTTCTAATAGGAGATGTGTGAATGCATTTAGTGGTCACTTCCACAGTGGCTCTGTTTCTTTAAGAGACTATGGTTGTTAAGTCAGAAGATCATTGAACCATGAGGGTCAATAAAAGAATAAAATCCCTGGTTAGCTATTGGAGTACAAGGAACTTGATCCCGGTGTGTGTTCGTATGCTGCTCACAGTCAACAGAGGAGTGCCAGACACTTGGTTGCTTGCTGCTCCTCAGGATGGCTTCTGGCAAAATAATTAAGCTGGTGTTTTTTGAGCTTCTGGAGTTTGCTGCCTTCTCCATTCCTACCCTGGTGATAATGGAACAATTTGCTACTTCCTATCAGAGCACAAAGATTTCATCTGACAGAACGCACTATTGGCTCATTGTTTCCTGTTCCATTGCCTATGTGGCTGTAGTGAGTCTCTTGATCTGGGTTCCGATAAAAGTTGTCTTATACAAGAAACGGCATCTTTACAAAAAAATTATAGGATGGTAAGTAAAAGAGCTCATTAGCAGGGAGTCCCTGCCATGTTTTTAATTCATGAATGTGATGTGCACATGTGTGCCAAGCATATGAACTTAGCACAAGTGTGTATTAGATTAATGATGAAATTGCACTCGCTGCCTGTAAATGTATTGATGCTGTGGTATCTTTTATATCTTCTCTATAAACATATTGATGTTATGCTATTGCTACATTTTCTATGATCATTTTTTCTGAATAACAAATTATGTATATTAACAAGGAATGTTGGTTTGACTGCTGCCAGTACTTTCTCAGTACTCTGAACTGTACAAAGTCTCCAGAGTTTCCCTACACACATCATGATCAGAAGATTAGCATGCAGAATTTCATGTTTGTGCCAACTGAAAGCAGCACTTCCTTCTAAGGGTTTACGTTGCCCTTTGTGGGTCCAAGGCACGATTTGGCCGCTCATTAACTGAGATGTTTTAGGCAACTTGATTACCAAGATTAAGTGGTGGTAAGTCCCATTATCCCTTGCAGGGAGAAAATATGTCTGTGATGATGCAGAATTACCTGAGATAAAGATTTGATGTTGCTAGGTTCAGTAGCATATGCCTGCACACCCAGCAAGCAATCAGGAGGCTGAGGTAGCAGGATCTAAAGGTTCTAGGTCGGCATGGGCTACATAGCAAGATTCTCAAAAGAAAAAAAGTGAACATAACAATGAAATCATCTTACTTTGGCATCCTATAGAACTACTGGATAGTACTGCAATCCTTGTTACTACGATATTTTCCCTTTTAGATCTTTAGATCTAGTTCTCACTTCTGGAATTTCTTTATTGTCTCTGATGAGTTAAATTCTCTTTGTTACTTTGTTACCAATCCTTTACTTTACAGGTGAGTAATGCGTAGAGAATTTGAAATAGGAAGAGCTAAGTGTTGTAATATAATTTAGGGCACAAACATAAAAGTCAAACATACATGGTAGAATAATCTTTGGAAGGGTGTTGACACAGAGAGCTGAAGTATGAGTAGAATTTACCAAGGCTCCTTAGCTTCTGACACTGAATGTGGCTCCCTGAACCTTGCCAGGGCGTTTTCTGTTCCTTAAGGGCAAGGCTTCTCAGAACTAAATCATTTTGTGGTTGGCACTGCTTTTGTCAATGGGAGGCAGAGACTTTCCAACCCTGGCTTGAGTCTCAGGCTCACAAATAGGGTACCTTAAAGGTGAACCATGCACCCCAAATTCCTTTGACACTCCAAGACTGTTGAATGAGTAAATGGTTTTGAGGAAATAGTGGCAATTCCAAATGACAGAGTGAAACAGTAGGACAATAGTCTACTGCAGTGACCCCGCCCCAAGACTCTTGGTTTTGATGGCTTGTTTTGACATTGTCTCATTTCTAGCACCTTATGCTCTTAATGTTATTCAGATCGCTAACTTTTTCATATAATTACTTTCCCATATAATTTATTATCAATATGAGTATTAAGCTACAATTGCTTTTTCACAGATCTGTGTGTTGAGGGTGTTATACATGGATTTTTATTTCTTAATTCTGACCACCTCATACAAGTATTTTACCTCAAAAAGTAGATGTTTTTAATGGTTGTGTCATTACTATTGCCAAAAAAACTTAGAAACTTTCCCAAAACCAGTTTAGTAAATAATAGAACTGGGCATTGGACTTTGGCCTGTCTCAGGCCATACTCGATATTCCAACCACGATTCTACACTATCTCTGATGGACAAGGTCTTGGCCTTCAGGGCAATTGAGATTGAGAAGCCTTTTGTTGCCAGTCTTCAGTGCATGGTGTACTCTCACCCTTCTGCTGTCTGCTCAAACTTCATTGCACACATCTGTCCCCACTAGTCCGTGGATCAAAGGGTCTTTGTTTGTTGCTACAGCTTCATCTTTCAGTGAGTTCTTCTGGGGAATCCTTGCCCTGTCTTTCTTTTCTGTTCATGGGTGAGGCTGGCCACAGGTGCTGTAAATGGTTTTTCATAGATATCAGTTTTATCTGTAATTTCAGTGAACTCTGCAACTATTTCCTCATGAGCTCATTCATGAACACTACCTAATAGTGACCTTTTAGTGTCATTAAAGGGAAGAAACAGCTCATGAAAACAACTTGTAGGCGTTTTACACACTCAGCAAACCTAAATTTAGACTTTATGGCAACTCAGTGCAGTTAGGTGTTGCTGTCCTTATGTTCTGGAGCAATAGAAACTTAAGTGATAACTTTGTTAGGAGATACAGCTGCCTTAGGGTGGGTCTGGGATCTGTAATGCCAGAGTTGTCTGATTCTGCACAAGTTCTTCTACTTTAGAAAAATTTTTTTCTTTCTTCTTTCTGATTTTGAAGGCCAGCCATGGTATACTTTAATAGTATTAAAATATATTTCTCCCAAGGATGTGCATTTCAGTAGTACTTATAACATGACTTCCAATGATATTTTGTTTGTCAGTTGAACATATGAGAGGCAATGCAGCAGTGATACCATTATAACCTCAAAGTTGTTTTTGCATTTACACAAATGCAATCATGTACAGTGTATCAAACCTTAGTTGCTATATGAAGATAGCTTTAAAAAACAAGATATATAGTGGGGAGTCACAAACATTATTATTTTAATTTATTATTTATTGTTGAGTAACTAGGTAGACAGTTGTTCATATAGTTTCACAAATCTTTAAGTTCATAGGTTTGATACTGATGAGACTATTTGAGAACTTCTCCAAGAGGCCCACATGAACCCTGTAGAATTCTGTCCAAAGAACAGGGGTAAGAAAGAGCAGACATGGATTCAAATCTCAGCTTTGACATTGTCAGATGTGAGTTATTTGTATTCCCTGAGCTTTAGTTTTCTCAAGAACCAAACAGGGACCATCTAGTCTCCATTTTTGGGATTTTTGTCTTAAAAACAAAAAACAAACAAACAAAAAAAAAACAGCATAAGACTGTGCATCTCAAATTGCTAATGAAGTGTCTCAAAGCACTATATGGATATCAGTGTTAGTGACCTCCAGCCAAACTGACTATATCCATTTAAACTGTGAGCTTGTTTAATCCATAGAGTATTAATCTATGAAAGACGTCATGATAAAACTGAAGTAATGTGGTGCTGTCAGTGGTACTCCTAAAATGTGAATCTCTTTTGTCATTTGAACATGAGAACCTGTAGAGTGATACCATTATAACCTCAAAAGAATTTTTGCATTTACCCAACTGCTTTGAGTTTCTCTTTCTCTGTGACCTACTGGACCGTGCTGCAAATTGACTAGGTGGCTATAAACCTTTCGTAAAGAGGAAGCAAGTCACGGAGCTGAAGACATAAACTAAGTCAACAGTAGAGACTGAACTTTCACTTGTGTCAAACACTTCCTCATTCTTTTAGAATCATTGTTCCTTTCTTCGTTGCCTATTATCATTCATATGGATTAGGGAGAGACTAGGTGGAACAAAGAAAAGCTGCTTAAGTTAATACCCAATCCATAACAGAGAGCTCTTCCTGGAGGAACAGAAGGCTCACCAGGGACATGTCTGTAGATATGTGGAAATTCCCAGATTGCCTCAGGACCAAGAACTGGGTTTCAGAGATCCTTCCCACTCTTTTTCATAATTCAACTCTTTCAAACTATGATGTACCAGGGATCTGCAGGATCTCAAAGTTTGAAAGGCCATGCTTTGAATTTGGATGTCTGTCTTCAGGGTCCTCCAGTAGGACACACAGCACCTGTGACATCTGTACTGCATTGCAGGGAATGCAGCCCACTGTTTTCAGTAGGATATCAGTAACCATTTATTATTATTATTATCATTATTATTATTTATGAGTATGATGGATGTTTTTGGGGTATAACAGAAGCATATCAAACTTTGTGTGTAGCTGATGATGACTTTGAATTCTTTAAGTCTTTTACCTCCATCTCCTAAGTGCTTGGATCACAGAAATGTACCCCCCCCACACTCCCAGTTTTGTGCAGTGCTGGGGATCAAAACCAGGACTTTTTGCACATTAGACAGGCAGCCTGCCAACTGAGCTGCATTCCCTCCTTGATCTGTATATCGGGGCCTTATAGTTATTTACTTACTAGTGCTCCCATGTGGCTGTCACTTTCCTCTCTATTCAGAATCAGTGACTTTAGCATTCTAGAATGCAGGCTTTCCTTCTTTACCCTACTCTATTTCATAAGACAGCAAGAGCTACCCTTTTGGTCTCTACCCACCATGTGCAAAAGGTCTCCATAGTCCATCATTTCTTCTCTTGTGGACCAGCTCCCTTTCCCCCTATAGGACCTTCATTTCCAGTCCCACCATGGATTTGATTTTCTGGCATGTTTCCTCATATTTTATATATTCAGACACAATATCAGGCCATTGTCCTGAGTTTGTTTAAAGAACAAGAAGAGCATGTTGCTAATTATGGCTAGGGTTGTGGAATTCTGTTCATCTCTCATTCTTGTCTAGTCCTTTTTAATTAGGATAGTGCAGTCATAAGTATTTAAAGATGGAATACCTTCTAAGACATGAGTCTCTTTTTTGTTGTTTGTTGTTTCGTTTTTGAGACAGGGTTTCTCTGTATTGCTTTGGAGCATGTACTGGAACTCTCTTTGTATACCAGGCTGGCCCTGAACTCCTAGAGATTTGCCTGTCTCTGCCTCCCAAGTGCTGGGATTAAAGGTGTGCACCACCACTGCCCATCAAGAAATAGTTTCTTGATGCTTCAAGAAATAAATGCCTGAGTCCTCTATACATACTGTGTACTGCTGAGGACATTTTTTTTCATTTGTTTGCAGTACTGAAGATCAAAGACAAGGCCTTATGCATTCTGGGCTGGCTGATCCTCTATCACTGAACTGCACCCCAGTTTTTTTGTTTTTTATTCTTGAGACAGAGTCTTGCTGTATGGACCACATTGCCCTGGAATTCAGTATATTCCCACATCCATCTCCAAAGTGCTAGAATTAGAGGTATGTACCACTATGTCTGGATAAAGAGTTTTTTAAATTGAAATATTTA